ATATTGCAAAGGCATCAGAGTGCATGTGGTGACCGTAGTTCTCCTCTCCAAAGTAATCACTACTCTACTTTTTGTTATATGAAATTTGGAACTATAAGAACTCTACTGCACGTTAAGGGGCCTACAGATTAAGTGGCAAAGATGCTCTGGGAGAAGGTTCTGAATGGCAGACTAGAACAAAATGTCATCTTCTTCTAATATGAACAGCTACGTCCTTCAGGGTGCAAACTGTTATTTGTAATCCAGAAAATATCTGCCCATTTGTCTAACATTATGAAATTAGGTTCATATTCAGCAGTTTATGTCTCCCTGAAATATCTTAGGATCTGCTTTGGTTCACAAAATGAAACCTAATTTGTTGAAAAAATAACACATGATTTGTTCAACTACTTGTTTATTTCAAAGAGTCATTCACTCATTACTAGCATTTCTCAGTTTTTGATGTTAGGAGAAGAAAGGGTCACAGCTCTTTGGACTATCTAGCAATATTTAATTTATGTGTTTAGAAGATAAAGTTAAGTCTTGAGTTCAAGATATGCATTGATGAGTGCAAGGTCAGGTGACCCTCCACATGCCACCACCCAAGTCAGGAACTCTTTTTTTTTTTAATTTTTTTTTTTCAATGTTTATTTATTTTTGGGACAGAGAGAGACAGAGCATGAACGGGGGAGGGGCAGAGAGAGAGGGAGACACAGAATCGGAAACAGGCTCCAGGCTCTGAGCCATCAGCCCAGAGCCTGACGCGGGGCTTGAACTCACGGACCGCGAGATCGTGACCTGGCTGAAGTCGGACGCTTAACCGACTGCGCCACCCAGGCGCCCCCCAAGTCAGGAACTCTTAATGGGAGGACAACGGGAGGGGTGTAGGGTCCCTCAGGTAAAAAGACCTATGAGAGGAGGATTTTAGAATATGTGAGTGGCTCCCTCCCCTATATCAGGGATCCGGAAACTATGGGTCAAATCTAGCCCACCACCTGTTTTTCTAGTTAAAGCTTTGTTGGAACACAGCCATGTTTGTTTGATTTCATTTTGTCTATAGCTGCTTTTGTAACAGCAGAGGTGAGCAGACGTCACCTCAAAAGTCAAAAATATTTACTATCTGGCCCTTAACGGAAAAAGGTTGCTACCCTCCTGCCTTAGATACTTGCTGAGAATTTACTCAGTGAGCCGCTATTACTAAATACCATGTCCTTTTCTGTAAGTATGTCCTTTTCCTCAGGGCTGTAATAGCAAAGTTTACTTTTGGTGGACAGTAACAAAGATCCAAAAACTAGTGGCTTCAACAAGATACTTGTCTCACATAAAAGTCCAGGGCTGAATGGACTCTAGCGTTGGAGACCCAGGCTGTATGCAACACAACTTCCATTTCAAAGGTCATAACATGGCCCATAATGGGTGCCAAAGTACCAGCCATTACATTCACATCGAAGTAGCAGGAAGAAAAAAGGACAGCCTCAACCCAACTTTTCAGGAAAACTTGTAGAAATGCCATTAAACACTTCTACTTATAAATTATTGGCTAAACTCAGCCACATAGATACACTTAACTTATAGTGGAGACTCAGACGTGTAGACTTTTAGTTGGCTGGTAAGCTGCTTAGATAAAAAAATCAAGGTTACATTATTTTTTTATACATATATTTAAAGTTTATTCATTTATTATTTCTGAGAGAGGGAGAAAGCACATGCAAAAACAGGAGAGGGACAGAGAGAGAAAGGGAGACACAGAATCTGAAGCAGACTCCAGGCTCTGAGCTGTCAGCACAGAGCCCAACGTGGGGCTTGAACTCACAAAGGATGAGATCATCACCCGAGCCAAAGTTGGATGCTTAATGGACTGAGTCACCCAGGTGCCCAAGGTGACATTATTTTTTAAACGGGAGGTTGGATATTGAGAGATAATTAGCAATCTCTGCCACACCAAGTCCCTTTTTAAGATTGGTGCACACTCTGGGCAGGCTAGTCATTTGGCAGAGCTCCGGAATAATAGGCCTTAAATATTTGTTTAACATTTATTTAAAATATGGTAAGATCAATGCCAATAAGACATATTTTTTGGTTAGATGGTTTCTTCCAAATTTCCAGTCAAAAGTACTGTCTCCTTCGGAAGATACTGGACAAATTCTTCTTCCAGGTAGTATGTGGTTGTGTGTATAGACTGGCATCAACAGAGTATTCCTAGACAGTCCAGTGATTTTTTAAAATTTAATTTTATTTATAAAAATGTTTTTTAACTTATTTTTGAGAGAGCATGACAATGTGAGTGGGGGAGGGACAGAGAGAGAGGGAGACACAGAATCTGAAACAGACTTCAGGCTCTGAGCTATCAGCACAGAGCCCGATGCGGGGCTCGAACTCACAAACCATGAGATCATGACCTGAGCCAAAGTCGAACACTTAACCAACTGAGTCACCCAGGCACCCCAGTGATGTGTTTTTCTGTTGTTGTTGTTTTGTTTTGTTTTTAAATTTTTTTTTCAACATTTATTTATTTTTGGGACAGAGAGAGACAGAGCATGAACGGGGGAGGGGCAGAGAGAGAGGGAGACAGAATCGGAAACAGGCTCCAGGCTCTGAGCCATCAGCCCAGCACCTGACGCGGGGCTCGAATTCACGGACCGCGAGATCGTGACCTGGCTGAAGTCGGACGCTTAACCGACTGCGCCACCCAGGTGCCCCTGTTTTGTTTTGTTTTTAATGGAGCATCTGTCTGCCTGGTCTGTCTGTGGTCCACAGGACCCTGATGCTACCTCAATCTCACTGTAATGTCTCCAATTAACATGCCCATTCTACATTTACCCTAACTACTGCAAATCACCTACAAGTCAGGAAAACCCGATATTTGCTCCCTACCCCAAACCACACTTACTCCCACATCCAGACAATAACATTGCTCTATAACCTTTAAGATCGGATGATATTAACCACAAAGGGCAACTCATCTAACTTTGACACTGGTGATATGAGAGGCAGAGCTACAGAGCTAAGGCAATAGCAAGAAGCAAAAGCTTAAGAAGTAAAAATTTAAGAACATATTCTGAATCCTTGATTCCAAAGGACTTCTACATATCAAACAACAATGGGGAAAAAATTAACAAGTCATGTGCTTCTGGCATATCAGTTATTACTTAGCAATCAGTCTTATTCCCGTACTTTTCCTCCTTCTCAAAAGTGAGTAATCAGAACTTCAGTATTAACATGTAAATTCCTGGAAATTTCTCTCTCACATACAAGTCCCAGGCTGAATGCGTATTCCATTGTGTCAAAACCCCAGGCTGCTCCATACATTCTATTTTCTGTAAAGCTAAAGGGCAGATATCATCTACAAACTCCAAAGTAGATTTCAAGGCTGCCAAAAGCAGCTGAAATCAAGTAGAAGCCAATGAGAGGATGTGAAGAAAAGAAACACACACACAGTGGCATTTCTCAGAAAACACAAGCAAAGACACATTTCTCAGAGCTGAGGGCTACGACGTGAAGTTCAAAATCTTTATCACTGAGGTAAACAAAAGGAGAATCTTTTGTTTGTAATAAGAGAGGATTTGGGACGGGAGGCAGAACTACGTAAAGAATCAATGAGATGAATGAGCCATATTTAAAGAAAGAGTTGATTTCTTGGTACTGGAGAGGAAGAAAACTATGTGTTGTGAAAACAACTAGCCTGGATGATCACCCTAGCCCCTCTCTGCCAAGTCAGCCCCCAACCTCACACCTCAACTTTATGCAAATAGCAGGCTCAGAAAATCCAGTGCTGTTCAAATACAAGGAACAAAAAAGCAATCATGTGCACACCACAGATACATCAATTTAAAAATCGGGGAAAAAATAATGAAGATGGCAGAAAAACTCACTAACAAAGAAGTCACAGAAAAAAAATGTTGCCATTGGATCATAAGAACTTGCTGGCGAAATATCCTGCAATAAATTTTAAAAACCAAATGAAGCAATTTCTCTGTGAAGCAAAATTACAAAGCAGAAATAGAAAGTAGACGGCAAGAAAACAGAAGGAACAGAAATGTGAGCTCACAGAACTCAGAAAAGGTGGGGAAAACAAAGTAATCAAAGACGGAAATGGAATGTGAGCAGGGAAGAAGAGATTGCAGAAAACAGTAAGGGAGAAGGTAGCAATGAGAAAAGCATTCAAAGTGAAGTGGAAATAAAGAGTTTTAAAACATTAGACAGAAAGCTGACAAGTAGAGAAGTCAGACAAAGAAGAGCCTACTCATGTATAACTGGAATCCCTACAGAATGAAACAGAATAGAATGATGGATCCGAGCAAATCCTTAACGATATAACTCAAGAAAACTTTTCTAAAGCGAAAGCAGAGTCAAATCTGATTAGCCTAAGACTATCTCTCTCTCTGTCTCTCTCTCTCTCTCT